ATGATGCATTACAAGTATATACTCCAGCATCAGTTGGTAAAACCTGTGTTAATGTCAGGATGCTATTAAATGTTGATAATGAACCATTAATAATGATACTATTTGGTATCATTTCATTATTTTTAAACCAGTTCACTACAAGTGAAGAAACATCAGGACCAATAGCATTAGTGAGACTAATAGTACACACTATTGATACATCATCACCAATAACATAAGATGATAATGATTGGACAGTAACAGATGAGACACTGGTATCTGTAATAAACATTAATGACTAATGTAGGTTCTAAGATCAACTAACCTAATACACTAATAGTAACAGACTCTGTCAAACTCATAGCCAATAAGCCTGATGATACCACACAAGTGAATGTGTTGTTATTATGGGAGAGCATCACTGGATCAATGATCAGTTCATTGCTATCAGTATTGAATGATAATGAATGCCAATTTTTTACACTGTTAGGGATGGAGGGCACTGTAGTACAGTTAATACTGACACTACTACCAACAGTGAGGTCAGTGTATTGACCAGTAACAAGGGTATCAGGTACTAAAAGGAGTAGTTGAACTTAAATTGAGTATAATTTTATTTTACTTTGGACTATTAGAGAAATGCTTCCTGCACCACAAGTATAGTTTCCAGTATCATTGCTCCTCACTTCTTGTATAGTCAGTGTACCACTAGTAGCATTGATATTGTAATGAGTATCATCATTACTAATGTCGTTGCCATTCAGCTCCCACTGTACTATATCATTTAGTGTACAATGTAAGATTACACATTCACCAATTGAGACTTCTGTTACAATACTGGGGTTTCCGTTTAAGGATACAGTTTGATTACATGCAGCTATAAAGTATAAAAATATTACAAGCATGATTTTAATCTTTTGATATGACATAACTATTGAGGATTTATGATGAGTAAATAATGCATGCACCATAGATATATGATTGATATTTAACCAAGCTTATACATGTATACTGGGTATTGACATTGAAAATTATGTGGCAGTGAAATTTAAATATCCCTAGATACTGTTGTAAAATGAATATAGAATAAAGTTCCTTTCATACTTTAAATAAGTACTGTACATGACTACATGATACATTTACCTTCACAATTTGGAAGTGTAACTATGATCAATAATATTAACAAAGGAGAAAAGCAATACTCCATCTTGCTAGGGCTCAACAAAACCTCAAACCACAGTTGTACTATACTGGTTGGTCAGGTGCACAATCTGGAGGATTGTGGGTTGAATAGATATTGTTAACAATAAGTCAGTATTATTTCCTATTCAATGGTGATGATGTTTGCACATCTGCAGTTAACATAAGAAAATAAACTATCATAATATTCAAATTGTGTACCTCATCATTCTCTCAATTACACATCCATGGTTGATATGTTGGAATCAAGGCACACTATATGGCTTGGTACTTGGCAACCTATATAGTACAGCAATGTCACAATGACCATTAACAAACAAGAGTACTAGTATATGCATGCAGTTGCGACCTTATTGTCATGAAACTACACTTTACATTGAGCAACAGATCTACTATAAACAACAACATTAACTGCAAAAATTATGATTTTTAGTATCATGAACCATAATGCATGAACAAACAGTACACTCACGCAAAACGTGGGCGTAGTCGGACTGTATCATGTGACTTTTTATGATGTCATAGTGTACCACGTGCTAGTTCATGGAGGTAACGCCATAGATATGTATAATATCTGTCTATGGTAACGCAAAGGGGAAGAAGAGGAACTCGTCCCTTGTTCCTGTACCTCTAGCAGAAGCAAGACTTCTAGGACCAGGTGAAGATGCCTGCTTTAGACACAGAGCCATCAGGAAACTAGTACTTCATAAATTCCTGTAAGTATAAGCATAGATATTATACACGGAACAGGATTGGAAACAGGATCACGTGAGCGCATTATGCATTGAATGATTGAAACCAACCTAGTTTGCCGGGAAGCGGGAACTGGTGACCGTAATGGAGATGAATGGAGATACTTTGTGGGACTCTAGCAACTAGATTGGAGGACAAAGCAGGCTAGTAGGAGCCTTTGTGGCTACCTCTTGAGGGTCTTTAGTGGAATAAGGCATCTATTAGTGTGTGTATGCATGTTTCAAGAAGTTATGGCGTGCCAAAGCAAAGAGGCTTAAGCCAGAATTCCATTACTCTCAAACTAACAGATGTGCACTATAACAAACGCCTTAGTCCACTGTAGGATGTTAAGAAGTAGCCATAGAACTAGATACCTTGTTATAGAACCGCCAGGTATAGGCTAAAGAGTCCCACGAAGTATTTTTAACATTCTCCATTCATCTCCATTACGGAA